GCACTGCAGCCATCTTGGGCAGGCAGAACCTCGCTCTGGGGCTTACAAACCCATCTATCTTCCCCACAGCGCCAGAGCGCAGCTGGAGGGATGTCCACAACACCTTCCACCACTCCCCAAGGCCATGCTCTTGATGGAAGCGGTTGCCATATCTTCCTCCCATGGACAGACTACTGGGTTCGAACCGCTGACTTTTCAGTTAGCCAAGTGCTTATCCCACAGTACCACCAGGGCCTTTAATAATGTCCTTATGTGGGTTTTAAAATGATTGTAAAATCATGGCAGGGTGTCAGACCGCCTTTAACTTCACAAGGGGGAAGGAGAATTAAGGTCAACAGCCCCCAGGTGGATTCCTCTATTCAAACTTTTACCAACTGACCAACCAAGACCAGCCGTCCCTCATATAGCACTGTCCACCTCGCTGCTGGGTTGGATCATTTGTGGCAATGGCCACAGAGGCCATGGAGTGACGTCAAGTTTGTTCTGACTCTCGGGGACCCGGCGTGCAACAGACCCAAACACCCTGGGCCCTGCGCCATCCCTCATCACGGTAGTGTCTTGAGCCCATTGTTGCCACCACCGTTTAGCCATCTCCTTGCGGGCCTTCTTTTCCTCTGACTCTCCTTTACCAAGCGCAATATCCTTCCCCAGGGCCTGATCCCATCGGATAGCACAGCCTCCCTCTAAGAAACATTCCAACCGCACCTCTAGCCGCCCATCGTAGATGTCAATACTCCTCGCCGACAGCATCATTCTTCAATGGCATAATTTCTTCTTCAGTCTCCCTCTCTCATTACAATTCAGGATCTGCAATGTCTCACGAGGCAGCTCATTAGTCACGATGGCATCTTTTCGGCCATGCCCAAAGGCAGGCCTCTCTCTGGACAAGCGTGACACAACTCTTTTAGCTTTGCTAATAATAATTTAAAGGAAGAGGCGCCCCACTGAAGGTGCTCGGCTCGCTTACTCCACGGATTGGCAATCATTCTCCTTCAACACATGCCTGGAGGCACCCTACTCAGCCAGCACACCTCCTACATGGGTCTCCCTTCAAGCCTCGTGTGCTTTGGACATGTTGTCAGGAGAGACCAGTCCGCGGAGAGGGACACGATGCTTGGGCAAGCAGAGGGGCCAGGAAAAGAGGAAGGCCCTTGGTGAGGTGGACGGACACAGTGGCTGCCGCAATGGGCACTAACATAACCACGGGGAGGATGTGCCGGACGGGGCGGTGTGTGTGCTGTTGCACACGAGGTCGCTGTGAGTTGGGAACTGGCTCCGTGGCACCGGACAACAACATAAGCATTTATTCAAATTTTCAGCTGCATAAATTAACCACAGCTAGAAAAAATAGACATGCTATCCAGTTCTATTTTCAGGTCATTTGAGAAAAACGGACAGTGAGTGGAGGGAAACAAATGTGATAGGTGGGACAGGAAGAAAGAGACTTACAGGGAATGGAAAAAAATCAGAGACACTTGCTCACGCCATGAGGACGAGAACTTTCGACCAGAAAGAGGAGCCTGAGCAGGGGCTTCTGTGAGTTCTACAAGTATTTCAGACCATGTTATGTTTTTGCAACTCTTGACACCATCTCTCTATTTCTTTTTTTTTCTTTCCATCTCTCTATTTCTATACCTATGAATCTATTGCTGTCTACAAGCTCTTAATTTGTCTTGGTTAGCAAATTAATTAAATGAATCAGTACTTTAAAGAGAGATCTGAATTGTAACCTAACAACTTCCTGGCAGTTTTTCTTTTGCAAGAGGAAAATTCTCTTTCTTTGAAGTCTCTAGGAAAAGGCTAGTCTGATCCTCTTCTTAATTTGGGGTTTCTTTGTAAAAATGACAGTCAAGGTGTGGGAGTTCAGTTTTATATCAATTTGGGTGGGCCAGGATTCTCCCAACTCCATGATGGGATCTTCTGGGAAGCAGCCAAGCAGTTGTGGGGAGAATAGATCTCCTTAATTTGGTCATCGCCTGGATAGGATTGAGGGAGGGTTTCATTCAAGGCGTGCCCTACTCAGTGTAAACTGACAAGTGTGTGGAAGCAAGTGGATGTCTACTGCTGCATGTGGACCCTGCATCTGGTTCGCCGACTTCCTGTCATATCTCCAGCCAACCCCAGGAGCCATCGGTGGATTCATTCAGCTCTGCATCCACCGGCCTATGGTCTTCTTGCTTCATTTCCTCGATTCCCATTCATCCTGCAGCCACAGGAATAGGAGAAGACTTAAGCTTACATCTCACCTACGGAGATGTACCTGGCTGGACTTACCCACTTCTACAACTGTGCACGCCATTTTTGGATACAAACCTCTTTCTATAGACTTACACGTACAAGCGACACTGTTTTGCTTCTCTAGAGAGCCCAGTGCAAACACAAAGAAAGCCAGCCCACACTGTTCCAGATAGGAATAAAGAGAATGATGTTTTTCGAGGCCTACTTACAAAGACCAGTTGACCAGATTCCCAACAACGAGCAGCACCATTCTGTCCTAGAAAGAAGGAATGATAGTTATCTAATGAGACGTTATGCACACTGATTTTCATACCTAGAGTAGGGAGGGCTTCCGCTAGAGGAAAATGACAAATGCAGAGAAAAGGAAATTTTCTATGATTCTGAGAACCGTGCCTATGGTCAGAGACGAATCCTTAAATGGGAAGATCTCAAAATGCAAGCACCCAGATACGACTGAATCCCTAGAAACGATCACACAGTCATGAAGCAAGACTCTGGCTGTTCTTCGGGGAGCTGCCAACTGGGCCTCACCCTGAGAGGTGCAGAAGAGGTGCATGTGCCAAATGCTTTGTAGTTAACATAATGCTGCCACTGGTCTTTTCTAAGCAAGGACGGTTTCCTGGGATGTGCTTGGTGGTGGGCTGTGTTGTGGTTCTTGGACCCTTTATCCATGGGGAGTTCGCTTCCTGGGCACTGCCCTGGCTCTGTGGAAACCCTGCAATTGCCAGACTCCCTTTCTTTACAACACGCTGTTTTCACACGAGCTTTACTAGAGAGGGAAAAATATAGAGGAAATGTTCATCCTAAAGGACAACTAGGAGTTCCTGGGTGATGCAAAAGGAGCCCTCGTGGCATCATGGCTTATGTGTTAAGCTGCTAACCAGAGGGTCAGCAGTTCGAAGCCATCAGTCACTCTGCAGGAAAGAGTTAAAGAGTTACCATTAAAGAGTTACCGTCTCAGAAATCTGCAGAGGCAGGTCTATGCTGTTCGGCAGGTTTGCCGTGAGTCGGAATCAACTCGATGGCAGTGAGCTTATTTATTTATTTATTTTTGAGTGCGAGGGTGGTGCGAACAGTTATACGCTCGGCTGCTGGCTGCAAGGCTGGCAGTTCAAAACAACCCTGAGATGGCCTGGAAGACAGGCCTGGAGAACTGCTCTCAGAATAGAGCCGTCCAGTCTGCGCACGTGGACCAACCCGAGTTAGAATGGGGTCCATCCTAACTCAGGGGCAGCAAGCCGGGAGAATGACTCTGACCAAGATCTGGTCACAGGCTTCCCTTCTCTATGCGCGCTACTTCAAGGGTCCAGGCACTCTCTGAATAGCCTTCTGTTTGCTTGGCCACTCAGCCATTAGGTCCTTCTGGGAAATCCATCCAATTTGGAGGAAATAGAGAACTGAGAGTGAAGGGGTTCATCGGATGATGTACGATATGAAAAAAAAAACTTCTATTAAGGGCTCATGAGGGTTAATAAGGGTGGTACGGCGGGGGCGGAAGGAAATAAAGAGGAGTTTATCTCGAGGGGCTCAAGTAGAAAGAAAATGTTTTGAAAATGACGATGACAGCAGCATCTGTATACGTTTGCTTGGTGTCATTGATTTGTGGATTGTTATAATATCTGTGAGAACCCCCAAAAAATGATCAATTAAAAAAAATTAAATGCTCCACATGTGTCCCAGCTCAGAGATGCTTAACTTTCAAACTGCTCATAGATTCTAATGTCGAAATTTAAAAAACACACACACAAAAAAACTTACCTGTCACTTGCCCAAAACCCTCCGGTCTCAAGACAGTGCAGTTTTAGTGCTTATGGTGACTGTTCAAGTGTTAGAGGGCTAAGCAATTCCCACACGCCTTCGTGTGAAGATGCTCCTGATGGTAAACTGGAGTTGTGGCCTGGTGCCACTTTGACTGACAAGGACCTCCATATGACACACAAAACCACCCTGGGCTGTAATCTTTATGGAAGCAGATGGCTAGCTCCTTTTCCCACATTGCTGCTGGGTGGGTCTGAACCTCCAACCTTTTGGTTAGTCGCTATGTGCTTATCTGTTAGCACCACCTTTAGTATGTGCTAGGCCCAACTATCACTCCCACACCCTCACCAAAGCACCATGTGTGGTTGGGGCAGTGGGCCCAGGGCAGGTAAGGTGCCTTCTGAGGGTCTCAGGCCAGTGAGCAAAGACAGAGCCAGGCACAGGGCACTGATGTCTCTGCCAGTGTAGAAAGTGTATGATGTGTCCTGAAGAATAAGGAAGAACTTTGTATTATTTGCGTTATTTCTGTCATCAAGCAATCATCAAATTTTTTAAAAATCTGCTGAATATAAAAATTAAACAGGACAGAATATGGAATGATATATGTATTAAATCCCAACCAGTACTACTAATGAAAAAAATCAAACAGTACAAAACTATGTAATGTGGAAGGTAAAAGATCCTAATGAAAGTGACCGAGTGACCATCGGTCCCGGTTTTCCCAAGACAGTCTGGTTCCTCGCTGCTGTTCTAGAGTAATTGTCAGTCACCCCGACTCTTCACAAGTGGACCTGTTGGGCTGGGTATTTCCGGGCCACCTGTCTTGATTCTCCTCCACAGCAATTCCCACTTTTTTTTACAGTTAGGTGTTTTTCTCTTTTTTCCTATACTAACAAACATCTCCTTTGTTTTGTTGTTTTTTTAAAAGGGGGGGTCTTCCTTGCTTGTCTTTGTTCAGTGAGAAGAGTCCCCCACCTGTCTCTGCTACCTCTATGTAGCCCTGAGCCACCTTGGCTCTCTTGGCTTAGGGTGTAAGGAGGGGCTTCCCTGAGCCCACCCCTCCGGCTCTAAGGCTCAAGACTCCGCGATGGGATGAGTGCCCGCTTTCTGGGGGAAGGCTGGCAACAGTTGCAGACCGACGTACCATGTAGAGGGGCCGGCTCCACTGCTGGATGCAGTCCGTGTACAGCACCGTCGCGGCCCGCCGGAATATCCCCAGATCTGCTGACGACACGGGCACACAGTAAGAAGGCTTAGCAAGAGATCCTGCAAGATGTGCGGATAGAGCTGCAGTTTTAGGGAGCAGGGAGGCTGTGAGAGTCCTCTCTTCAAAACGCGGAGAAGACCCAGCGCTCAGGACCTGCGCTATCAGAGAGGGCGTGCCACATCCAAGCATCCCACAGCTGGGAGGCAAGTGAAATGGACACAAGTTCCCATGAACAGGGCACCCTCTTCACGCGTCTCTTTCAACTCAACTTCCTTTCCTTGGGGCTTATCCTCCTGACGGTTCTTTTCTGCCAGAGAAGCGAATGATCCTCTCAACTCCACCTCCCTGGAGGATGGGAAATCTTAGCTTCAAAATGTCTAAGTGTCTTTTTCTCACTGTAGTTAGGCCCGTCCTTCAGCAGTGACCCCAATGGATAGTGGGTTCTCCTGAGCATGTGCAGAAAGCCGAGACTCACACCGAACCAATAACCAAAGGGCTGCCAGCTCCAATGGGGAAGACCAAGACAGGGAAGATTTCCTTTTACACAGAGGGTGAGGACTACCCCGTGCCCCTCCCAAGGCTGGCGTGAACGGGAGTGAGTGTGCAAGTCAGGACTGTTGGGCCATCAGAATCGGGGGTTGAGGGTATTGCTGACTTTCTTTGAGCCGTCCAGAGAGAAAAGATCCAATAGGCTGGGTCTGCCTGAGTGTGGACCCCTGCTCTGTTAATGAATGCTCCTTCTCTTCTGAGCTTCCCCACGGCTCCACTTAACTAGCCATCGTCATCAGGCTCAGGGTGTTTTGGGAGGAAGGGTGAGGAGGTGTTGGGTGCTCTGTCCACATGATTGCCCAGAAGAGGCATAGAGCAGGCCCACTGGCATGTAACTGCCCGTCTGCTGTGCCCTCCCACAGAATCTGGTACAAAAAAGACTTTGGAAACACAAGCCCCCAAACCATCTGTAGTCTTATGAAGGGTGGCTGAACATTACCTGTGTCAGACACATCTGAGTCAGTGGGAAGCAGAAAGGAAATGAGAGAGAAAAAAATCTTAAGAAGGTAGTCGAACAGGTAAACCGACTCATCATTTTCTTGTTCCTGGAACAGGTAAGCTGACACATCATGTAATTTTTCCTAAAACAGACTTTAACTTTGTGTTCTGATTATGAAAGTCATGTTTGTCCATCAAAGAGGACATGGACTTTTTCAGGCTGCCTCAAAAACATGCAGGAAGTGCCGAGTGGAGACCCGAAGCCAATCTGTAGGCAACTGGACACCCCCTTATGGAAGGGTCATGGGGAGGAGACGAGCCAGTCAGGGTGCAGTGTAGCAACGATGAAACATACAACTTTCCTCTAGTTTCTAAATGCTCCTCCCCTCTCCCCAACTATCATGATCCCAATTCTAACTTACAAATCTGGCTAGACCAGAGGATGTACACTGGTACAGATAGGAACTGGAAACACAGGGAATCCAGGACGGATGATCCCTTTCAGGACCAGTGGTGAGAGTGGGTATACTGGGAGGGTGGGTTGGAAAGGGGGAACCGATTACATGGATCTACATATGACCTCCTCCCTGGGGATGGACAACAGAAAAGTGGGTGAAGGGAGACGTCGGACAGTGTAAGATATGACCAAATAATAATTTATAAATTATCAAGGGCTCATGAGAAAGGGTGGAGAGGGAAGGGAGGGGGGGAAAATGAGGAGCTGATGCCAGGTGCTTAAGTGAAGACCAAATGTTTTGAGAATGATGCGGACAATGAATATACAAAAGTGCTTTACACAACTGATGTATGTATGGATTGTGATATGAGTTGTATGAGCCCCTAATAAAATGATTTAAACAAAAACAAAAAAACCATTCAGGGCCTCATTGTTGGCTGCTGTTGATTTGGTTCCAATTCCTGCTGACCCCAGGTGTTACAAAGTGGCTTGTTCCACAGAATTTTCAGGGTTGTAGTCTCAATGGAAGCAGATCATCGGACCTCTCTCCCATGGTAATAGCTCTAACGACTTACTGCCACTGAGTCAATGCTGACTCATAACGGCTGTCTAAGACAGGGTAGGACTGTCCCTGTGAGTTTCGGAGCCTGTAGCTGTTTGTGGGAGTAGAAAGCCCTGTCCTTCTCCTGAGGAGTTTCAACTTGCTGACCTGGTGGATCAAAGCCCAAGGTGTAACCACTATGCCACCAGGGCTCATCTCCGTGGTAATACTGGATGGATTAGAACGGCCAAACTTAAGTTAGCAGCCAAGGCCAATCAAACTTGTCCCTGTCCCCACCTTTGTCACAACTTGCTACTTATCACCCATGCTCTCACAGGAGAAGGCCCAGAGGTCCTTTTCTGGGGCCCTGGGTGGTACAAATCAGTAATATGCTCAGCTGCTTATCAAAAGGTTGGAAGGTCCAATCCACCCAGCAGTGCCTTGGAAGAAAGGTCTGGCAATCTACTCCGGAAAAAAAATCAGCCCTGGAAAACCCTCCTGAGCACAATTCTCCTTCCACACCCCCGCCCCCACCCCCCACTCCCCAGGGGATGGTGAGTCTGAACTGAATGGACAGCAACTGATTTCGATACCCATGCTGGTGAGGGAAGAGAAGGGGCCTGGCTGTCTGATTTCCTGCGCTCCTCCTCTAAGTCCTGCCCCAGCATCGCTGCTGCCCTTCGAGGCCCGTTTGCTGTCAGGTGTGGACACAGAGAAAGGGGCCCGGGAGTGGAGGAAGCAAAAACAGTTTCAGGAATGGGTAAGAAGGTGGCCTGGGTCCCTTCCCATGAATCTAAATGCCTGTCTTTGAACTAAATTTAGATGCTGTCAGTGCCAACAACGACAGAGTTTTTACTACTGACCCTGGTCATTTCAAGCACCAGGGGAAGACTTCCTGGGTAGAGAAATGGAAAAGGACAGGTTAACACGAGCACACTGGCTGTCTTCCACCCGCAGTGCCCCCCTGAATCATGCCTGGGGAGACTGACCTGGGTGCACTGCCTGAGAGGGTGCCCCATCCTCTCTTAGCCCCTTGCACGTCACCAGGGGAACCCCAGCAGGACTGGAGGCACAGTGGGGCGGACAGTGATCTCAGAGTATTTATTTCCCTGGCATCTCCCCCAGGAAGCTGGCTCGGGCTGGTTGTGTCTGTCACGAAAGGTCAGTGCTCCTTTTGGTGTGACTCCCTTTCCTTCACAACCCTCCCCCCCCC